GTTTAAAACAGTGTTTCTCAAATTATGAGCCATGAACTTTGGAGTTAAACAGGGCAGGGTTTAGAGAGTAAGAGAAACTAAAACTAAATAGACCAATATCCTCCTTATTTGGTTTCTTCAATTTCTAGTCACTTCTCATTAGGAAATCACAGGGCTACTGTTTAAATAAACCAACTGTCATCCTTCATCTAAACTTCCCTCCCATCATCTCTTTTCCTTCTATCTAAATAAATTCAGTAGATCAAAAGTAAAATTTTAAAAATGATCACTTTAAAAGTGAATCAAAAAAGAAATATATTAATTTGGCTATTTTTTTTTCAAATTATGAAAATGACACCAGTAATTTTCCTTTGATGAGGTTGCAAGACATATAAAAACCTTAGATTCTCTTCCCACATTGGCCAAGAACAATTTTAAGCATTATCAGTTCTAAGTCCTTACAAAAAAGATTTCTCTAACATAAAGAGCTAAATTCTTCCAAATACCAGCCACCCCCGCCCCACTGCAAAAAAAATAAAAAATAAAACCCAAAACCAAAACCAAAATCCCCTCAGTCTACAAGTCAATTTAATTGAGCACATATTGTTTGTTCACTAAGCAAATATAATAAAGGCTATAGGAATAGTTAATCAGACTTATTGACTCAAAAGCTGGGAAAAAAAGAAACCATCAGAATTTGATAAGGTCAGGAGACTCAGTATCCAAGGTTTCTGGGTGGGATACTCACAGGCCTCCACCTGAGAATGTACTTGGAAATGTGAGACGGCTGTGGTGCATTCCACTGGATGGGGTGAGAGTTGGGCTGACTCGGAGTCTCAGTGATAAATACTTCGACAGGACCACTTGAGCCTGGGAATGAAAATGTAACATTTAATTATCTTAGATATTCACTCCAACTTAAAACTGTGTACATGGACAGTCATCATTACAAACAGCTTTGCTTGTCGTTAAATGTGAGTATAGTAAAATTATTTGGGATTAGTTAATCTTTTAAATATTTACGTTGAAAATCAATGCAGCAAATCCATTTTTAGCTGATAATTACTGTTCTTCATATGAGAAATGCAAATCGTAGTTGTTTATAGCAAATAAAATACATTTTTAAAAAAATGTCTCTTGGCTTGCTTTTATTTTCTCTATTATCAAAGTAAGAATTGTGAGAAAATTGTGAAACGATCCTATAAAAATAATGTAATACAGAATGCAAACTTCATTTACTTATTGTATTGAGCCTCTTTTAAAGCAAATTCTAATTTTGGAAGGTTTTCATCAAGAATGAATCTACTACCTAAGAAGGAAACAACATTCCAAAGGCCATATGAGATGATGTAAAACAAACACATTTCTAAATGGGGGTAGAATCTTAGACAAATAGGCAAAGGTAATAATTAAAGACCTAGTTTTATTTCTCATCAGTCTAAGCAATCTATCAGTTTGGAAAAAACATCTCGTTTTATTTTTATTCAAGAAGTGTATTCCCAAATCACACCATTGATCCATAAAATTATTAAGTGATTAAACTTATTTTTTTCCAAAATCAGTTATCAACAGAAATGACTTTATGAAGTATATACTAAATTCCGTATTTCTACATCTTGATGTATATCACTGCTAACAAAATTTAAAGTATGGTTTTGGTTCTTTTGTCTAAAAAAATGAGGAAAATAAGGGAAGTAGCATCAATTTCTAAATAGTGTTAACTCCATTTAAGATAATAATGAAATAGCTAGAAAATTTATGCTTGCAGAACAGAAAACTATCTTTTCTTAAAACACTATCTTTATGATGTCAGTCAATGTTTAAATTACTAGAAATAAAAATCATGTCTTATAATAACCTTTTCAAGAATTTTTAACTGACACTCTGTCAAACAGAGCAAAATTTTGCATGTGTAGTAAAGCACTTCACCAGATTATTAACAGATTTAAGTTTTCTGAAAGCTTCTAGGAAAAACTACATTGATTTTCAAGCTTTATTATCTAAGCTGTTAAATTATCTTTGAAAACAAAGCTTTCTGTAGCAGAAAAACATGTAACTTGGATATCCATGTAGATTCAGAAATTCTAGAACAATATGCTCACTGCCACACCAGTAACAATTCCAGGTTGGTTGAAGATTAACAAATACTTTGAATCGTAATTCCATTTAATGCACATATTTCCAAGCCACACGAATACCAAAATACCAGAATGCATAAAATTATCAGTTTTTCATTTTAAAGTTGTATGCATTTCACAGAACACATAGGATGTTTGTTTTAATCAATTGGCCTAAGTCAATTCCATGTCCCTGTTTGAATTGCCCCTTCTGTTTATGAAGATCCTTACAAAGGGAAACACATTTTTAAAGACAACTATTCAAGAAAAATTTTGGAGATGTGACTATTTAACGTACTTCCATGTAGATCAGGAAAGCTAGGAATATCATGTCCTTAATTATTTATGATAATTGGCATAGGGTTATTTAAATATTGATCCTTTAAAGAAATCCATCTACAATTTCCTCTATAAAGAGACATCTGATACACAGTTTATTTAGTTTTGTCAATCACGATTTTGAGGGGGGAAAAGCTTATAATGGTTAAATGTCTACTAAGTTTTAAAAAAGCAACATAAATGACCTTTACTGTTCACCTCTAAGCCTAATCATATTTCTACATCCACAAGGACACAAGGAGGAGGATAAAAACGGGCAGGGAAAGGAAGGAAAAAGGGTACTGCAATGGTTTTTACCCCAACCAAAGTGGAACAAAACTACGGGTCCCTTTTGCTTTCATAAGATTTCAACACTGGTCTGAAATTCTACGTTTTAAAATTTAGCCTTGTGCCATAGCCCACCTTTAAAGGAAATGGACTGAACAGCAATGGAATTTAGCATGTTTTTGTTCAGGAAGTAAAGAGACTGTGACAGTTATTTCTTAGATCAATTAAATTCCTCTATACTAGCTTATACTACATATAATTACTCTAGCTTATATTACGTACCTTTGAAGACAGAAAAGGTAAAAATTATGACATCTTTTACATTATTAGATTTAAATTTTTGACAATCCTTTTGCTACTGGTAGTTGGTATAACTTTTTAAGTTAACTTAATTGGCATATACTAGCTATTGCCATTGTGAAATCTTTACTCCCTCTCTTATTCAATATGAATAAACTAACAATAAAATGGTTGAGATGATACCAAAAAAAGGAGATAGTATAATGTCTACACTTTTAAAATTAGTTTAAAATAAAGTCTAACTGAGTAATTTCCAATAGTAGTGTCCTTGGAGAAGTTAAACATTTATGATTTTTTGACTCATTTATTTTTTCTCTATTTATTTTGCTGAGATCTGTGCTTTTCTAGTTGCTTATTGACAAACCAAATGTCTCTTATCTTTTGCTAGTTTGAACAACTCTACCAAGTTCTCTGTAGGAGGAACAAACAGGGCAGAACTCAGAGACAATCTATTGGTAATCTGTTGTTCCTTTATTCTCACCACACTCTTAAAGCCCTACATGCTAGGCCACTGAGCAAACCAGAGATACAGATAAGCACCAAAGAGCGTATCTGAGGTCAAATGCCAATCTCTTCCCTCCAAAATCGCCTCTGTGCTCAGTGAGCTCTTGCTGTTCTCCTTTTTAAAGAGTAGGAGTAAGGTCAACATGTAAAACTCCAATAACTCAAGGATTCCTTCCTTTACGGATTTTATCTCTAACATGTCCACCTAAATGCTTCCAGCAAGCATATATTAAGTTACAAAACATTAAGTGACTCCTACACCCAAATCCTCCAAGAAATACAACTTAGGAGGTTGATCAATCTGTGCTATAAGCCTTCAAAAGCAAAGTCACCTTCCCCAGCACTGACAGTGTCTGAGGGTTGGGAAAAGCAGAATCTTCCAAGTTCCCGGAAAAGGTGCATCTGGGTGTTTAGTACTTAGGATGGAACTTTAAAGGTAATCAGCTACAATCTCCCCATATTACAGATGAGGAAATGGAGGAGTGAGGCTTGGCTAACACTACCTTTGGCCAAGTTGTTCCCATAGCTTGTTCTCTGTCACAGTGAATCTCTTATTACAGAGTTAATTTAATCTTAATTTCTGTCGCATGCAGATTCTGACACCCTGAAACTCTTTTTTATTTCTGAATGTAGGCCATATTTTAAGTCAAACATTAGTGAAGACTTTGGAGATTTTGTACCTCAGCAGTTGCTCAAATAACTGATGTCTTTTAATTAGCCTTTCATGTTTTTGTAACATGTTTTGTTGTAATCACTCAGTGAATATTTAAATGCAATTTTTCCCCCAAATGAATTAATTACACCTACAGCTAGGTATGACGTCTTTGTGACCTGGAAAAACTCAGCAATAAACATTTGAGGGTGTTTGAACTGTGTGGGCAGAGAGTTGACCAAGTTACTCAACCCTTGGCCCAACATACTGTGTTCCTGGCTGCAATTGATCAAATAAATGAGAAGTTTGATACAAAGGGAGCTTAGATGACATGTTGAATGAACACGTACCCTAGGTTGCATTTCATGCCATCTCTCTACACAGCTTCTCTGTTAAGAATCATAATATACAACCCCAAACCTTTACTCCCAGCATAACTCACTTGGTGGTTTTTATTTCCATGTATGGATATAAGATGAAATCAGCCAGAGTGTCTTAACCTAATGGCATATTTTACAGTGTTAAGAAGTAAAATTATAGACAGGCACATCTTCATAGCCTTCTCTACCTTTTACTTGACAGAGGAAGAGAGAAAAGTTATTTTGATGAAAAATTCAATTATTAGATAATAATAGGAGAAAAGGGTGGGAAAGAGGGGAGACCCCCAACTTAGGCATGAGATCATTAATAATCACTGCCCTGTTGTTATAACCCAATTGGCAGTTCTCAACTTGCAGTAATAGAGCTACTTACTTGGATAGGTCTGTAAAGGTTGGCAATGCCACTCCCCAATGCCACGGCCATAGCAGTAGCACTGGTATCTGACACCATGCACATACTTCTCCCATGAATCTCCAATTTGATAAAATGTTCCAGTCTCTGAATCCTGGCATTGGTCTAAAATACACACAAGGAAAAGATAAACAGCCTTGAAGACTTAAAACTATGAATTTAATTTCAGGGTGCTAGAGCATACATTTAGTTTGAATAGAAATTTGCAACTGTCCTTACACATATATGCAGTCAAAAAAGTATTTTGTTCACATTCTTTACCTTACAGGACAATTTGTAATAATAATAAAAAAAA